CCCCAAAACCCCAAAACCCCAAAACCCCTCCATGATGAATTTGAAGAGATAATAATAACAGTAATGTTATCTTAAAATATAAATATTCTCATGAATCTCTTAAGTAAAAATATTTTCTCTCAATATAAAATAGCGAAATAAATGAATATCAAAAGCATGACTGTCTCAAAAGCATATAAAATAGCCTTACTCTGACTGCATACTTTCACATTATTTGAGCACTATTGTGCAACTTATTTCATTGGTCCAGGTCCCCAACATCCAACTGTGTAGGGGTGGAATAATGTCGTAACGTAGTAGTAGACCCCTTCAATTTCTACTCCATTGCATATATCAATATCACAAGGTTCCCAAAGTTACCCGTCACTTCTGAATGGACCAAGGATCGAATGTCCATCTCTTGCTATTCCGATAACAGTCATATTTTTCTCTTGGGGTTTCATAAAAGAAATTGAATATGCAAGCTTATCCTTTTTGCATTCATCAATATCTTTGCAGTTTGATGAAGACTTAGTCGCTATAGGGCCTGATGGAAGAATACAAGGTGACCATCCGTAGTAATGGTAGAAGCCTAGAAATTGAACACTTCCGAGACAAGAGTCTAGTTCAACTGTCAATTCACTTTATAAGTTATCTTTGTACTTCTTAGGGAAGAATATGTCTGATCCATATTCAGAGTTACCCGTATGGATAGGAACTCCGTTGATAGCTATTCCCACAATATCTTTGTAATTTCCTGAGTATTCAGTATAGGAAGGACTAACTTGCTATACAAACTCTGTAGAAGTCCACGCTGTTTCGCATAATAGAGAATTCACAGTACCTTGATCTTTGCCATCTAATGCTATTAAATTTCTGCTTTCAGTGAGTATTCTAGCATTTTTGCTGTTTTTAGCAGAAGTTCTATACTCCACTTCGAAATCAATGTCATTCTCTGTTGATTAGGTAGATTCCTATGTACAGAAGCAATGATTTGGCAATGAGTTAGTTTTTATCCTCAATGTAGCTACTGCTGTACTATTGCTACTGTTAGTATTGTTTGTATTTTATAGGAATCTTCTCTCCTTATCCTTATTGTGATGAGAGTTATTATCTTTTTCTCTGCAGTCTGTGTATGTTCTTCTCTTCCAATTGCAAGGTGGTCTTGAACCATCAGGACACTTTTTCATATCTGAACATTAAACTTCCTCTCCATCTGCTGTCTCTGCCGAATATTCTGTTATGTCAAACAAATTTAATGCTTCCTTGCATTATTTCACATCTGGTGGCTCTGTAGTTTTTGTTACTGTAGTCACAGTTCTTAACGGAATGGTAGTTGTTGGTGCCTTAGTGATAGTCATTATTGTAGTTGTAGAAGATTATCGATTTGTTGTCAATTTTGTGGTTTATGGTTTGATTGTCGTTATTGTAGTAGATTTAGTTCTTACCGTTGTGATTGGCTAGGTGGTACCAATTTAAGTTGTTTTGGGTCCTATTGTTGTTGTAGGTTTTGTTGATGCAATTGTTGTCGGTTAGAATGTAGTTGTTGATTTGACTTCGGTTGTTGTCGGTTAGAATGTAGTTGTTGATTTGACTTCGGTTGTTGTAGGTTAGTTTGTAGTTGTATATTGGACTGTTGTTGTAGGTTAGTTTGTAGTTGTATATTGGACTGTTGTTGTAGTTTAAGACTTTGTGCTAATTATTGTAGTAGAAGTTTTTGGTTAGGTGATTATTTTTGTTGTTTGTGTTGAGATAGAAGTATATGACTTTGTCGATTAAGTAACAGAAGATGTGGGAATATAAGTTGGCATTTAAGTCGTTGTTTATGAACTCGTAGGTGATTTTATAGTTGGAGAATTCGTTGAAGTTGTTTGGGAAGAAATAGAGGATTCAGATTTGGCCGTTGTAGCTATAGTGGAGGGGCGTTATGTTGTCGGTTATTCAGTCAGCTAAAATATATCTTGTAAATGAAATCAAATTTACTGTTGGCTTCATTGTTTAAAATGTTGTCTATGTTGTTTATGTTCCTGGACCATTAGTTGTAGTATATGGATCATAAGTTTTAATAGTAGTTTATGTAGGAGGATTTGTTTCATAGAACAAACCAGCATCGTAGTGTATAGTAATATTGAACTCTGAGCCCTAAATCTTATGAATTTCGAAGCTGTAGCCCCATTCAACTTGACAATCCTTAGAACAACTATATAAATTAAAGTAAAATCTTTACCCATCTCCATCTTCATGATTCCTGTCTAAGCATTCTGTACCCACGAAAATGCAGGACTTGTAGCAATGAGATCTATGGCCATCTTCTGAAACACATGACCATCCGGGTCTAATATAGCAGTTGTCATCGCATCTATCAAAAGTTTAACATAAAAAAGGATACCCCATTTGATAAGGCAAACCATTGTCACAAATTTCTCCATCTTCCACAATACCATTCCTTTCTTTACAAATGCTATTTCCATAGTAAATGGTAGTTGGAGTAGGAGATGTGGAACTGTCCGTTGGCATTGGGGTGGCAGTTTCTGTTATTGGTGAGGTTTAAGCAGCTTCAGTTGGAGAAGTTGTATTATAGAAATACCTAATTGCTTTAAACTTAGTAAAATATTGATCATAAACTGCTGATACTTCCTTGTTTACTATTCTAGTATGACTTAAAAAGCACTCAAAGTAATCAAAATACTATAGACAACTATAACTATCTTCTACTTCACAATACTTATTGCATCTAAAGCAATTTCATAAGACGATATATTTACCCATCATCACAGTTACTATTCATGTCCATACATGTCGCTCCATAATAAGTGCAACTCTGAATGCATCTTTAGATACCATCACTATTTTATTATATACAAGTCCAACCCGGTTTAACCATACAATATTAATCACATCTAAAATTATTGAAGAAAGAGTTTATTTACCCTCCTGAATGAGTTATATCGCCATCATCACATTCCTCATTTTAAGATAATACTCCATCTGTTTTATTGCACTTATTTTGATTTGAATAATACCATTCCCAAGAAAATCCTTTCTATTTATTTTGAAATAAGAATATTTTACAGATATGAAGCATTTAAGTGAGGATTATTATTTTATACAATAATTATTCTCCCAAATTAAATCATGTTCACCGCATCTAATTTAATGTAATTTTGAATGCTAAAGTTACGCTTGAGCAAGAGTCTAGGCATCAATATCTTGAAGATTTTTGTCACTACATCTATAAAAATCAATGGTTGGTTCTCCAAGTTAGCTCCATAACCAGGTCTGATCTTGCATTCCTTACTGCAACTATTTAAATAAGTGAGAATATTGATATATTCAAAATACCCACTAGATATCATTATTCCATCGTCACACTGCTCACCTATATCTAATTTTCCATTTTTACATTGAGCCAAGCTATAATCCGCAAGATTTCTTTAATTTATAGATCTTAATTCTGAGTTAAGACTGTCATCCATTAGATAGTTTGAATAGTCCTTTACCTGAGTTACTTTTGAAGTTATCTACCCAGAGAAAATTTCATTTTTTTTAATGCATTAAAATGTGCCTGATCCATTATTTGAAGTAACTTAGCATCTATATCCTAATTCTACCTGGCATTAATCATCACATCTAAAAGTAAAGATATATTATGACAATTGGGAATTACCCATCTCTTTTAATATAATTTTGATCGAGACAAGTCAAACCATGTTCTATGCAACTCTAGAAACAAATTGATTTGAATCCATCCTTATTTAGGCAAGTCCACCTCTATTTTATTCTGCATTGAGAGTCACAACTTTATAAAATATTATCATTAAGATAAGGCTTACCCCCTGGTTGATTCTGCTTCTCCATCATCACATTCTTCAAATGATTCTTTAATCCCATCTTTGTTGCAGATTTACTCTGAATTGAATGGTGCAAATTTATAAGTTTTCTAACAGAATAAATCCACAATATTTTAATACTTTTATAGGGCTTAGTCTCTAATAACAAGAGAGATTTCCCGATATTTAGTCGATTATACAATAGTGATCTTTGCCAGTCACACAATCTTTATTGCATCTAAGAATTTATTAAGAAAACATTTTTTATGTTGGACTAAAATTATAGTATACAGATCTGAATATTTTCCCAACATAGAGAATTAGAAGAATACTTACCCAAAGATATTTTAGTTTTCCCTGCTCGAGCAACTAGTATTTATTCTCGTATCTATGCACTCTCTTGAACAATTACTCAACTAATTTAGAGTTATCAAGCATGTAAATCCGTTCTCTATTGTGCATTTATTTCCACAACTATATAATTATCATAGTTCATATTTACCCA